ACTCCCAAGAATTTGATATTATTCAAGTTATACAACATAAATTAACTTTAAACAATTTTGTAGGACTTTCAAAATGCTCTGTCCTGATGGACAATGATTCAGTGATGGCAGTTAGTGCAAACTCTGATTGTACCATCATTCCTCAGCCTAACACTTGTAAAGCCCCCGTACAACAATCAACCACTGTTGTAAACTCACCGGATATATTTTTTGTGGGGTACACACATAATCCTAGTAAAAAGCATATTCCAAGTTTACCAGTAGACAGCAAATGCAACATGGAAGTTAATCACTGCACATACCGAATTTCAGGAATTGTTTATCTGAAGGCTCATCACTACTTTTGTGAAGTGTATTCAACTCAGAGAAATTGTAAAAGTGGCTGGTACGTGTATAATGGTTTGTGGAATAATGGAAAAGCAACTTTTATTGGATCAAGGTCATTATTTCTAGAAAAGGAGAGTCTATACTTGCTGATGTTTGAAAAGATCAAGTCTAACAATCATGCAAATAATGATGGTGTTTCAACAACATTTCATAGGCCAATTCATTCCAACAACAATGAAATCATGAAAGACATAATTAACGAACACAAAGTTCTGCTCTCATTACCTGACAACAAAGTTAAACTTGACAACATCAGAGCAATTCTCCATTATCACAACATCTCTACACCAACAAATATTAAACTGGCAGACCTAAAGGATCTCTTGCTACAGCACTGCAACAATACAGAGTCAGTGCCTATAACTTTTGTATCAGATTATAGCCTTGAAAAGTATGCTGAGGCTAAAGAGAGTGAACACTCCGTCACACATGAGCAAGACACGTGTACCCATAACTTTTATAAATGATACTATGATTAATTTAGTAAAACAAAAGGACAACACAGATGAAGAATGCCTTGAAAAAAAAGCTTCAAACGAATTGATTTAACACCTATTAAGCAAGGTTACACACCTGAGAGGCACCCACCAAAAAAACAAAAAGTTGGAAGAACAGAAACAACTACAGATATTAAAGGTGGCAAAAAAGAGTCAAAGTGTAAATCATTTAAAGAGTTGATTAAAAGCATGACTACAGAAATTGACAGTGACAGTAGTGACGATGATTTTGCAAAAGCATTTCAACCATTAATTGATACAGATATGTCCTTTGTGACACTTGATGAACCCACAGAAAGTGAAAAACATGCAATGCAGATCAAATCTTACATTTCTGATGCATTTGACTATTCGCATGAATTTCAAATGGTCAAAACACAAGATCTTTGGGAATATGGGGAATTTGACAGATCTCTCATACCAAAAGCTGCCAATAATCACGATCATCTTGAAAAAGTAAGAGGTTTCATTTTGAAAAATGGTTTTCAAGAACCAATAATTATATCATGTGATCTTACAACTGGAAGAGCCTGTATCACTGAAGGAAACCATTGTCTTTGGGTGGCCAGTCAAGAAGGTATACCATTCATATCATGTCGTGTTATTCCTCACTGGCTGCCCCCCAATGGCTCTTACAAAAAGCTTGAAATTGATTTTTCCACTTTAAAATATGGGGAAACAGTACTTCCTGAACAATTGGGATTGACGGTTGCACAGATTGATTTCAATAAGTGCATAAAACAATAACCTTCATAAAAGATGCATCAAATCTATTTCTGTTTGTATACATAAACTTCAACACTATCATAATTATAGTGTTCTTAAATTAAAAATAATTAGTATTAATTTGTTGATTTTAATATTTTGTACTTTGACAACAGAGATTCCTTGCACCCCTGATCAAAAATTATTTAATGGAATATTGCAGTTAATATTGTACAATGCAATTGCACATAGATTCTAGCCTAGCAGTGTTATCCCTCTAGCATTAATATATGGAGAGCCGTTTGTAGAGCCTGAACATTAATTTTATAACCTGCATGTATTTCAG